CCCAGGCGGAAAGCTGTAATTTTCGTTGATCTGCAATAGGGAAAACTTCCTAAATACCAAAAGATGGCGGTCGAAACGAGTGTCGCCTTCTTCACGTTAGGTGTTTGGACAACGGCCGGGCTTGCGCCGTGATTCCTCGCCGTACGAAGGTCGAAAAAGCGCTCCGCTAACGCTACATGCATTCATTACCAATTCATCCTGACCATTATATTCTATATGGATGGTGATGCACATACTGTGGTGTATGAAGAAAAACAAAGGTTCCTGCACAATCCCCGCCCGTGTCTCAGAAGCTGGCGGACTCGGTGCCTCGTTGGGCTCACATAATCCATTAATACGCGTTGTATTGGATCTTCCTGGTGCGAGGCATTGAAAAAGGCAATAACCTGCATGGCACACCCGTAGATTCCGAGACATGCTGCCCCCCCCCAACCCCCCCCCCCAAGAAATTCCTTCCGTCAATATGTATTTCGTCTGGGCGTTGCGGCCTCCAGTTGTGGAACCTGCCTACAGCACGGAGATGGCAAGCACTTGCTTGAACATGGGGGCAATACGCGGCAGCCTTCCTACGTACACCGCCACCGTCTGCGCGACCCTGTCTCCAGACTACGCAAGGAGGCCGAGGGGAAGTGAGGGAGGGAGAGATGGAAGCTACGAGTAAGCTATCGCCCATTGTCGTGTGCGATCACCCTGCTCGTAGTCAGGCTTTGGAACCCTACAGTCCTCGCAATTTGGTAAGCGTATTCTTTGCCTACCCTAGAACAGCATTTCCAAAAGTACAACTTTTGGATAAAATCAGGGTAATATAACAGTCGGGGTTCTCGCCGACAAGGACACACACACAGTTCATGGCAGACAGAAGTGTTTGTGTTTTCAACCGCACTGAGACTGACGTCTTTTCATTGGTCAGCCGGTTAGCGCGGTCGATGCTAATAATAATAAAAAAAAAACACACATACAGAGCTTCGCCTAAAGGCTTTTCATACCAATAAGATTCGGAGACGGGTTACCTTCGAGCTGGCTCGTTTTCTGTCCGCGCAAACTCGTGATGATTTCAAACGTCATGGACTACTCATTGATCAGTTTCCACCGCGACGAATAGGTTGGGATCTCGGAGTAGTGCAGATGAAAACGACCAGGATGGCAACGAGGGGAATTCGTTTGGCAGCGATGAAGGAGAAGAGGGAACGGGAGGACAATACAGGGACCAAAGCAGCAGTCGAGAAGATAATCATGGCGTGGTAGAGAGCAAGAGCTTCGAGTCAGATTACCTTCCCCACCACAAACGACGCGGGGTCAAAGAAGAATGTCGAAGAGTTGCTGTCAAAACGATCATGAGAACGATGGAGTTGAAAGCAAGTAGGACGATGGTGAAAGCACTCCAAAACGAACTAGCGTGCAAGGTAGCAGCCTTCGTAGACGCCTACAGTTTTCATCTGTTGCTACCGTTTTTGTCTTTGATCCGGAACATAGATAAGTCCCCCCCATCCCGCCCCCTCACGGTGTCCCAGTTAATGGCATTTTAGAAGTGTTTTGTGTTTTCAACCGCACTGAGACTGACGTCTTTTCATTGGTCAGCCGGTTAGGGCGGTCGATGCTAATAATTGATTGACACAGGCAGAGAGAGAGAGAGAGAGAGAAAGAGAGAGAAATGCAGAGGATCCCGTTCGCGTGTGTCTTCAATGCTGGGTGCGATCCAAGAAAATCACTGCATTGAGAGGGAAGATCCACAGGCGGCAAATCTCTCGGAACCTCCCACTCAAGGGGCCGCTTTCGAACCTCCGGCTCATCACACGCATGCATATCGCGACTTCAAGAAGACAGCGAAGTATGTGCAGAGGATCCCGTTCGCGTGTGTCTTCAATGCTGGGTGTGATCCAAGAAAATCACTGCTTTGAGAGGGAAGATCCACAGGCGGCCAATCTCTCGGAACCTCCCACTCAAGGGGCCGCTTTCGAACCTCCGGCTCATCACACGCATGCATATCGCGACTTCAAGAAGACAGCGAAGTATGTGCAGAGGATCCCGTTCGCGTGTGTCTTCAATGCTGGGTGTGATCCAAGAAAATCACTGCTTTGAGAGGGAAGATCCACAGGCGGCCAATCTCTCGGAACCTCCCACTCAAGGGGCCGCTTTCGAACCTCCGGCTCATCACACGCATGCATATCGCGACTTCAGGAAGACAGCGAAGTATGGTGATCACTCGCCAATACTCGTAACTTCGCCAAACTTTCGGAAAAAACACCAGATAACAATCCCACCGTCCCGGATGCTGTCTCGTCCTTGTCTCTTGCAAAGCAACATACAAAAGATGTTCCTGCCCAACTAGCAAGCGCCGTAGCTCCCTTTTCGCCACTCTTTGCAATTAAGATAACTACTGTAGGTATCATAAAGCTGTTGTTGCACGGCCGCGTGACATGCACACGGGTTAGCATTTCCCGGCCATCGGCCATCACGCTTGTTGACTGGTTAACAATAGCAACAACACCACCGTAAAGATTTTCGCCCGAGCGTTCTGGCGTTCGGTACCCTCTACAGGACAACTTGAGACGATAGTTACACGAGGAGAGATTGGACGGGAAAAGTGCAATTACAGCCAGTTCGTACTGTAAGTAGTGGAGTAATCATGAACGGAGGGTGAATCTACCCACCGCCGTGGAGAGAGAATTCGACAGCTGGTGACTACAACAATCTAAGAAGAAAACGCATCTACTGCTGTACTTCTGGACGTACATCCGACGTCGCTGTGTGTGGCGCGATTGTTTCAGGGGGTGATCAAATCGGCGCTCGCCTGCCCTCTTGGCAGGCGCCCAACGCGACCTCCTCACGCACACAAAGCGAGATAATAGCTTTGTGGTTAGCTATTTCGTCGCGGGAAGACCGAGTGAGCCAAGCAGGCGTAGCGATAGCAGCATCACAGCCGCGTGCAACTCTTTGCTATCTACGGACCGTCGTTTCATCGGTATAAGAGGGGTCGAGTCTTTCTCCCACTCGGCGTGTCCACGGCTGCTTTCAGCTCTCTCTCCGAATGCATTATCTCTCACCCTAAAGTTTGATGGAAGGATTGGCTGGCTCCGGAAGCAAACCCAGAGCGCAGATCGCACCCTATATCCGCTTTCAACACCACTCCTGGCATCGTCTCGCCGCGCTTTCCCCTTGCAGCCGACCCGCCTCCTCAGACACAAGTTTGTACGGTGGCCGACGGCTGTTTTTGGTAGATGTGTGGCGTCCCCGCTCTCAAAAGTAGCTGATGATGGCAACGGACGCGAGAGACTTTCTTCCAGACACAAAGGGGGTCGTCGAGAAATTGAAAATTGATTCCTTCGGGAAGGGAAGGAACTGGGGGGTGGGTGGGGTCTCCTCTCTGCAATACGTAGGTAGTCTCCGCGACGTGAACACGCTCAGGTTTCCCTGAAGTTCCCTCGCTTCTGCTGCTCTAGACGCACGTCGTGGCCCACGTCCTGGCACGTTGGCAGCAGCTTGTTTGTCCCAGAACGTCACAAACGTGTCATACTTGTCTCAGAATGTCAAATGCGCCGAACAAAAAGCTGTGAGGTTGTGATTTCTTTCTAAAAAAAAGATGGGCCGCCTTTTGGATAGAGGAAGAGATTAACACCTGCTTGGTCAAACTGTCAAACGCGCGGCAAAATGACACACAGCAGCACCTATCGTGTGGTGTTTCGATCGCATCATCCGTGCTCCAACCAATATCATGAGCTCTGAATGCGTGCTTCGTCACTTGCTTCCATAGTCTAGGTCTTCCATGCCCGTGAGCCATTCTATCTTGACTCTATTCAGCAGCAGTATGCCTAAGCCAATCAATCCGCGTGTGCTGGCCGTGGGGTATAATCCGAATAGTGTGGTCTACGTGCGTATGTACGGATACATCTTCAAACAAACATCATTTCAACATCGCGTCGCCGGTCCATGAACAGCAACTTGCCGGCGTTGCTTCACATTCAGCAGATCATAAGCACGAGCCAGGAATGACATGTTGGCCGCGCATTCGCAGGTATTTGTCCTCTGCGAGCGCACACGAAGCAAGATCATGATTGAAGAAAAAGTGCGGCGCAATCATGTTGAAACCGTCACTTTCGCCGAGATGATTTCAGACGGAACATCTCTCCTCGTCCTCATGTCCTCATCGCTGTATTGGGTTCATGGATACACCGACACACATCAGCAATCTACAGCATCATAGGGTGGCGGTAGAAGTCTCTCGTTCACTTTGAGCTGTATGCGAAGGATCCAAGAGAGACCAGTGGCGAAAACACCGCCAGCAGCGAACTCTACGCTCCCAACTCGCAGCAACTTCTCCCACTCCACTGCAACTCGCAGCAGTCCCTTTCAGCGGATCGCGTAGGCTCAGGTAATAATGCGCAAGGCACGGCTTCTAGGGTTGCTGATGGTTTAAGCGTGAGGGAAGCAGTAGTTTGCACGTGCCCCGGTCGTTTGTTCAACCATGTCCGCATACACGTATTGCCACACACTTGGTGTCACTCAAAGATCCAACCTATGTAGACTACTGCATCAGTCTTCTGCTCGAGTCCTGTCTACGAAACACAATAAACTGCGCCCATCGAACGGCACCGATACTATGGAGCTTGTGCTCTGTCGTTTAAGGGATAGTGCTGCCGCTGTACAGCGTTCATTGCGAGGTCCGTTTTCCTCGCCCGATTGCGAGGGTTCGGAGTGTCATCGGAAAGATATCCTGAGACACGTCGATCAGGAACCCTCCGCCAACGCTACCAACCAGGGTACCCCGTAGACTAATGTATCCGACGAACGCCCAGGTGCCGTGTACTCGCTACCCTCCCCCGCTACGCCCCTTACCTCGCTGTGAGAATGGCCCGATGGTGAATGACACCATACCTTTGGGGATGGGGTCCCCGTGAGGGGAACGGGAAAGCGCTGAGCAGAGCAGAGTGATCATTCTGGGCAGGACAGGTGATGATGGCTCTTTGTTTTCATTCTCGTCAATCTGTGCGCGTGTATCAGGCATGCCCCGAGCCATGGCGTCGAGTTCACCATCCCCTCCCAACGCGGTTGTGCGTTCTACAAGTAAGCGACGGCAGCCAACCGAGATTAACTTCGCGGCACTTTCCCCGCCCGCCGGCAGTCTCAGCTCCGAAGGGGACGACGCCACCTCGGTGGACTTCTCGGCGTGTAAGTAAATTGTGTAAAACCATCCATACCGGATCGTCTGATTCTGGCGCTTGCTTGTACTGTAGAACGTTTTGGTAAGCCACATCAGGTGCGAGTTCAACGATACACGCACGTCAAATTTGCGGTGAAGCATTCGTTCGTGCAGATTGAGCACGCAACGACAGTCCCAGCCCCAGGAACAAGAACGTGGTGATTGCTACGGCCGTTTCCCATTTACACCGGACTATTAGTACGGAAGGGAGACACTTTGTTTGATGCCGAACAATGTACATCTTCACTATTAATACCTTCGCTAACACGCAACACACCATTGTATAAAGAAGGACCTAAAAAACGAAGACACCTGCCCCTACATACGACGATGCCTCTTCTTCCCCATTATCAGCCGCAACCGAGGCGGCCCTCGCCCAGTGTGGAATGGACGCCTTCAACCTGCAGAACCCGACCGCCCCGCCCCTCTCGAGGGGGACCTCTACCGCATCGTGGACGGCGCGGCACAGGCGAAAGCGGAGCGACTCCATGTCCTCTCTCGACGTTACGGGCCCTCGAGCACCCGGAAACAATCAGCAGCAGCAGCAGCAGCAGCAGCAGCAGCAGCAACAGCCTCAAGGGAAGGCCACGAAGCCGCTGCCCCCGTCCAAGCACGGCAGACCGAGGGGGATCCCTAACGACGTCAGGTCAGGTATTAATTAGGCTTTCCCTCTACCGTGGGGGATTTTTTTCGCCTGGGGAACTCGCGTGGTAGCGTCAGGGTCGTGCGCAGTCGGCTATTGCTCGTCGACACACGGGCAGCAATGGGCGATGACAGAGTTGACCATTTGCGGAGTGTTCAAGCGTGGCATATGACAACAAAATGCGCACGAATGATATAACCGCAACCTTTCCCAAGTGCACCACGAAGACCACCGGCAACGGCCCTTTCTCGTCTTCGCTCGAACTCGTTTCGAAATAGTCATTTTTGCAAGCAACACGCTCAGCATACACACACATTCCCCCCATCGCCCCTAAACCGCCGCACGCAGTGGCAGCACCTACCCGTTCGTGAGACAGCAAGCGGCAGGGCAAGGAACGGACGGGGCATCTGCTCAGCGTGTCATCAAACCCCACCGCCCCGTAATGTCGCGGTATTGCCGGTACACCTTCTACTTGCGGGACGCGCTCGACACCGTCGAGGCCGACGTGGACGGGGTCGGCGCGTGTTGTGGCGTATGCAGGTGAGGGGCCGGCGGCTGTTTTTTTTTGTCAGACTCGCGAAGGATTAGATTTTCGAAACAAAACCTGTCGGTCGGCCCGTGTAGGATAACTTCGATTGGACAAGGCGCTGCTGTGATTCGGGTATCAACACGTGTTTGGGTGCCCTGCCCTGTTAGTCTAGGGGGGCTGCAGGCCATGTGGCTGTCAAAATGCCTAAGACGCGGCGAATACGCACGTTCTCAAGGGCGTCTTTCGCTCCTGCGTCCATCTCTCGATCGCGACGGCGGCCAAGGCCAAAGCCCAACAAAACCATGCCAGTCGCGCGAAGAACGACTCTCCCGCTCATTCGATGGCTAGCGCTGCTGGCCAGGCGGGTAACCCGACACCTGCAAGGACAGCACGTAGAACAAACGAGGCCAGCCCTTTATTGGTGTCGCCACAATCTCACCTAATGACCCTGCTACGCCCCGCGGTATTTTTTTATTGTCGGGTTGAGAGTTCGCTTGACCATGCTCTTGAAAATCACCTTGGTTCTCGTCGCCCAGGGCCCCGCCGCAGCTGCCGTGCCTCGCCTGGGTGTTCCCATGCTGCGCTTACCCCGAGGAGCTGGAACAGGCCCGTCGGGAGTCGAGCTACCTTATCATCCGCGACACCTCGGTGGAATTCAACAACCCGAAGGTGGATGCGTTGAGTGTGCCGGAGTTGCATGCTGTTGATGATGGCTTTTTTGATAGGTGGTCCAGATAGAAGATCATTCGCAAACCACCTATCCCGTCGAGGCCCAAACAGCGTGCCAAACGGGAAACGAGATTGAGATTGATTCATGAACACTCCGTGGAGTGCACCGAGGACCCGACAAGAGCTTCATTTCGGAACAACTGTCGCGAAGCGGGCCACCTCTTCCGCCCCCTCATGCGCCGAAGAGTGAAGCAGAGAGAACGAGACTATAGTAGAACCGTGAACACTGTATTCAAGCGGCATTCCTGTACTCGTCGCAGGGGGCGGCTCCAATAGGACCAGGATGAAGATTGCCTGTTGCTGTTTTTGACGGAGGAAACAACTTACACGTGGTCACCTTTGGCGTCTACCTCTTTTCCTGACCCCATTCAGTTCCCAACACGCCAATCTCTCGCTGACGCACTCACTCATTCACATTATTCCTTCACGCACGCGCACTCGTACCATAATCCCATAGCTGACCGCAATTCCATCGACCCTCCTACAGTGCTACCGTACCCAATCATCTCAACCAATATTCACGAACAAGAACCCCCCCCCAAACCGCAACGAACTGTACGCAAAACAAAGGTGGTCATGGGTTCCAGGCCGTCGGTGGCCAGGGTCGCGTCGGCCGACAGCACGCACGGGAACGGGCAGTACAGTGGGGCCTGCGGATGCACCTTCCACGTCCGCGACGACGCCCGCGTGCTGTACTTCGACGACCCTGCCCTGGAGGACATGACGGCGGTATTCCCGGGGGGTGGCGGCTGTAGTCGCTTTTGCTGCGGGCGACGGCTGTCCACGGCGGCGAGGCTGATGGCCGAAGCTCGGCAGCTGCTGTGCGGCGGGCGGGGGCAGGCCGTGCGGGTGCAGAGCCGGGTCTGCTGCGGCGCCTGCGTCCGGGCGAGGGGGCTCCTGGGGCTACCGTGCGTGCCGTCGTGCTGCGTGTGCGCGTGCCGGTCGGCGACGCTGCGGTACGACATGCCGGCCAAGGTGGGTCTGAACCCGAGAATAGCAGCAGTTGTTGGATCCATCCATACATACGATGGTTGCCGCCGCGAAAGCACGGAAAGCACACGTATGAGTTATACTGGCACATGGGGGGATGCAGCGTTTATCCCCCCTCTTGCGGATGTCAACAAAACTCAGGGACAGAAGGACGTGTTCGAGTGAAAGTGTTGGTCTTCTGGTGATAGGGAGTAAGCTGTATCACAACTATTGATCTTCACTCTCTCTCGGGGACGCTGCTTTCCTGCAAGATATGGGTCTCTTGGAAGAAATACAGTCGGCCTTCCTGACTTAGGGGCCTAGGCTTGCGTCGCGATGAGTACTTTCATTTCTTCCCACCGCAAGAAAAGAGAATAACACCGTCGAAGACATGTTGGGATAAAATAATGTGAAATCAAATCCTCAAAAGGTCCAAGCGTGTATTAAGTTGGCATCGGAAAGGCCACGATCCATGACCCACCCCTTACCCACACGGGGGAGGGGGGGGGGGGGGGGGG